GACGCCGCTCGAAGAGCGGAGCTGGGTGAAGGCAGCGCCGGGGTGCGCGGACGTTCGGCAGCCTCTCCAGCGCAAAGTCAGCCCGGGGAGGGGGTGCTTTGCCGCGATCTGGGGCTGGGCAGTGTCACCCTCGCCCTGCGGTGGCGGGGGGGGAGCATCCAGCCCCGGCTCAGCTCCTCACCTGCCCCCGCAGACGTATTTCTTGACGAGGAGGACTCCGGCCACGGCGGTGACGAGCAGCACGGCCACGACGGCGAGGATGATGGGGGTGGAGCTGGTAGACGCTGCCTGCAGGGAGAGGAGGAAGAGTCCAGAGGCTGGGGGTACCAACGTCCCCCCCAAACACCACGAGCACCCCGGTGTATCCCGGGGGATAAAAGCCACGACGTCCCCGCAGCACCCAGCCAGGATTCAGGCAGGCGAGAGGCCGCAGGCAGATTGAGGCAGGACAGTCCTGCCCATCACAAAGTTATTGGCTCCACGGGTACAGGCAGGAGATGGCCCCATGCCCAGAGCCGTCACCGCGCCCGGCCGGTGTCACCGTCACCGTCACCTACCAGCTGGCTGGGGTTGAGGAAGTTGCTGGTGCATTTCTTCTTCATGTCTGTCTCCTTGCTGCTCGGGCTCTCCCCTCCCAAACACTTGTCCCCAGGGATTTTCCGGTACCTGGAGATGGGGAGGTGACGCTCGGTGACCCCACAGCTGCTTCCCAGGGCCCGTCAGCCCCCATCCGAGGCGATGGGGCAGGATCTGTCCCCGCTGGGTGCAGCGTGAAGGATTCCCCAGGGATGTGGGGTTTCCACCCTGTGGAATCATCCTTCGGGGATCGGGAGGATCCCCGCCCCTGGCTCCGGCATCGACGCCGGCCAAGCTTTACCCGCTGGTCTTGAGCAGTTCCCGTCTGCCGTAGAGGCAGAATTCCAGGTCGTGTCCCTTCAGCTCCGGCTGCTCCACGCAGACAGACTGGTTCTCCGGGCGGTAGTAGCCAAAATCGCTGTGGGAAGAAAGGGCAAAGCAGATGAGATCCCGCTCGGGGACCCGGCGGGAGCCGGGCTAAAGGAGGGCGACATCTGGCCCAAAACGGGGGCAGAAGGCGGGAGACGTCAAGATGGAGGCTACCAGAGGAAATCCTCCAGCGTGCAGGGACAGACGGACGGCTGCTTGGTCACCATGTAGTCCCGGCCATTCTGGCACACAGAGGACTTGCGGAGACGTCGGTATTGTTCCTTGTAGCCCAGTATGCAGCCGTCACTGGGGTCACTGGGATCGCTGGAATGCGCCAGCCAGATGGTGTAGTCCTTGTCCTCGCCTGCGAGGGAGCGGGCTGAGCGGCAGGGCCAGGAGGGGTCCCCGGGGGACGGCACCACCGCGGCGCTCGGCAGGACGCTGCTCCGGGGGGCAGCAGCCCGGCACGAGCCAGGGGCAGAGTGGGGAAACCCCGACCACTCACCCCGTCACGTTGTCCCCACGGTGGGGACCAAGGGCCATGCTCCCCTGGGAGAGACTCTGCTAACGTCACCCACACCCGGCTCTGGGGGCAAGAGCGTCCCCCAGCCCAGCCCTGGCTGCCCCCGGCACCAGCCATCCCCAGTCCTGGTTGTCCCCAGCCCAATTATCCCCAGCCCAGTTGTCCCCAGCTGTCCCTGGCTCTGGCTGTCCCTGGCTCCGGTTGTCCCCGGCCCAGCCCTAGTTGTCTCTGGCCCTGGTTGTCCCCAGCCCTGGCTGTCCCCAGCCTCAGTTGTTCCCAGCCCTGGTTGTCCCAAACCCTGGTTGTCCCCAGCCCAGCCCTGGTTGTCCCCAGTCCCAGCTGTCCCCAGCTCTGGCTGTCCCCAGCCCAGCCCTAGTTGTCTCTGGCCCCGATTGTCCCCGGCCCTGGCTGTCCCCAGCCCAGTTGTCCCCAGCTCCAGCTGTCTCCAGCCCAGCCCTGGCTGTCCCCAGCACCGCCTGTCCCCAGTCCTGGTTGTCCCCAGCTCCGGTTGTCCCCAGACCAGTCCTGGCTGTCCTCAGCCCTGGCTGTCCCCAGCACTCGCTGTTGCTGGTACCACCTGTCCCCAGTCCTGGTTGTCCCCAGCTTCATTTGTCCCCAGCCCAGCCCTGGTTGTCCTCAGCCCAGTTGTCCCCAGCCCCGGCTGTCCCCAGCCCAGCCCTGGCCATCCCCAGCCCTGGCTGTCCCCAGCCCCGGCCATCCCCAGCCCAGACCTAGCTGTCCCCAGCCCTGGTTGTCCCTGGCACTGGCTGCCACTGGCAGCACCTGTCCCCCATCCTGGTTGTCCCCCGCTCCGGGCGGCCCCAGCCCCCCCCCCGGCAC